GAAGAGAAATCTTTGGGGTAGACTCATCTTAGATAGATGAATTTATATAAATTCCACTCATTTAATCCCAACCCGGTAGAGATTGGGGACTTTCATAGCCGCCGGGCTCAGACTGGTGGCCCACCCTGGCGGAAGGAGAATTTAGAGTTGGAAACCCCTAATCTTATAATTCAAATCTAAAAAGAGTGTTTGAACTTTACTTTTAACCTTTCTTTATCCCTTAGACTAGATTATACTTCTTAATAAAGAAGGTTCTTTATAAAAGGGAAGATTCTCGCCCGAGGGGCCAGAAATTATCCCCCGTGGGGAAGATTAATTAATCTTAGGCTTGCTCATTTAACCAAGCTAAGTATTTCTCTAAAGAAACAGCTTCTACTGCAATAGGCATGAATCCGTGATGTACACCACAAATCTCAGAACATTGTCCGTAATACACACCTTCTCGCTCTACTAGAACAGATGTTTGATTTAATCGTCCAGGGATAGCATCGATTTTTAATCCTAATGCAGGTACTGCAAAAGAATGAATTACATCCGCTCCTGTAACAATGAATCGAATATGAGTACCTACTGGTACTACTACTCTATTATCTACTTCTAATAATCTTAATTGTCCTTCTTCTAATTCATCCGTAGGAACTAAATAAGAATCAAACTCAATTGATTCTCCATCTTCATTCACGAAATCAGAGTACTCATAAGACCAATACCATTGATGTCCTAATGCTTTAATTGTCATAGCTGGATCAATTACTTCATCCATTAAATATAATAATTTAAAGCTAGGGAAAGCAATAGCAATTAATACTAAAGCTGGAGTAATAGTCCAAATTAGTTCGATTAAAGTACCATGGTTATGGTATTTATGAACAATTTTATTACTATTAGAATTGAAATTTAAAACAACTGAAGATAATACCCAAGTTACTCCTAATAAAATAATTACTAAGTAGAACATAATTTGGTCATGTAATTCAACAATACCTTCATATGAAGGTGATGCTCCATCTTGGAATCCTAATTGCCAAGGCTCAGGAGCATCATTCCATACAGGAGAAATAATATTTAATGATTTAAGCAGATTTAACATATATACTTATTATAAAATAATTTAATATAAAAATGGATTTACAAACAACATTCCCCAAAACACAGTGCTCAGGGGACTAAAAATAGAAAATGCTGTTTTAAAAAAAGGAAAATTATCTATTCACTAACTCCTTTCATCCTAGAAGTCGAATACCTTTAGGGCAAAGCCCCCTCAGGTTTTCGATGGATTCAAATGAAAAAAGGGTTAATATTGATTATGAGTTATGATTAGTGTAGATCGATAGCATCTTTTAGATATGAACAAGTTAAAATAGTGAATACATAAGCTTGTAACATAGCAATACCTAATTCTAAAGCTACTAAAGCAGTTAAGAATAATACAGGTAATACACTTACTAATAATAGAACAGGTCCTGCTACTACCATTTTCCATGTGAATGTAGAAATAATTTTTAATAGAGAATGTCCTGCAATCATATTAGCTCCTAATCGAAGACCTAAACTTAGTCCTCTAGCTAAATAAGAAATTACTTCAATAGCTACTAATAGGAATACTAAAGCAAATGGAGTTCCTGCTGGAATAAAGAATCCGAAGAATTTTAATCCATGTTTTTGGAAACCAATAATTGTTACTCCAATTAAAATTACAGTACTTAAACTAATAGTAAATACTAAATGAGAAGTTGTAGTGAAAGAATAAGGTACTAAACCAGCTAAGTTACTGAATAAAATGAAATTGAATAAAGTAAATACGAATGGTACGTAAACCTCATTTTTAGCTCCTACTTGATCTCGAACCATATTTAAAATAGATCCGTATACAGATTCTGAATGAATAGCCCATCTAGATGGGATTAAAGATCCATTGTTTGTTGATAAAACATTAATCGCAATTACTAGGAAAATACCTAAGAAAAAGTAAAATCCAATATTA